TTAGACATGACTGGCCTATAGAAAAAAAATAGAGCAAGCTAGGTGTGGTGGCATATGCCTGTAACCATAGTACTTAGGAGTGGAAGCAAGATCAGTTCAGGGTTATCTTCAGCTGTTACTACACAGGGTGAGTTTTAGGCTAGACATGAAACCCTTTCTCAAAAAACAAACAACAACAAACAGCCTGCACCACATGCCCAGCTTATCTCAGATGACTCCTCAAAGGTAATCGTACAGAATCATTTGGCTAAGGAATCTCCCCTCCTTCAAAGTAGTTCAAAGAGTCCCTCAGTTAGAAAGAAAAGGGCCTGGTGTTTAAATAAAAATCATTTTAACAATTTTCAGTTTGGGGAACTTTATTAACAAGGCATTAGTCTGTCTTGTGTTTGCTTCATGGGTCCTAAGGTAAATGTTGTGCTTTGTTTTGTTTCTTCAGAGTGCACTCTTGCGTGTTCTGGACCCAAGAAGTGCTGTAGGGATAAATTCGGAACCTGAGATTTGGGAAAGAAACAAAGCTTGTTGGTGTCAGACCCTTCTGCCCAAGTTCACTTAAAGAGTCAAGAATCGATACTTTGCTAGTTAGGAAGCTGGGAACATTCCTACCTAATAAAATAGTTGCTTTTATTGAACTTTCCTTTTGAATAAAAAGAATAAACCCTGCTTTCCATTACAGCCTCTAGAGGGCAAAATAGTCTCACTTCCTGGGAAAGGTGTAAAATAGTCTTCAGAGCAGGGGGAACACTTGCCAGTAGCAATACAGACATTTCTGTAGCTGTGAAATTCCAACTTCAGACTACAGGCAAGCAGAGGATTTGTTAGAATATAGCTTAGAACATATATTTCCTAGAGATCCTGCTTTGATAGTGCTGGGGAAACTTAGTGTTGACATCTGGACAATCCCATATGAATGTCTTGAGTTTAACTTAGTTATACACTCATCATATGAATAAGAGTGTTTGCTGTGGTTGGGAAGTTCTACAGTGGCAGAATGCTTGTCTTGAATTTAGGAGGCCCTGGCTTCAATAGCCAACAACACACACACACACACACACACACACACACACCATGTATTTTTGCCCAATTATATTTTCTCTTGGCATTTCAAAAAAATGATATTTTCTAGAACACAAGAATGTAGAAATAACAAATTAATGTAACTGGAACAAATAGAGTTCTGTCTTTCATTGAATGTGCTTGAAGACTTGCTATATTCCTACTTAGTATGAAAAAATAAAATGTTTTCAATTTAGAGTTATTTCAATAAATAAAAATATCATAAAATCTTTGGATTATAAGAATTTGAAAACTTTTAATACCCTTTCTAGGAAAGAGAGAATCCTTAGAGGTTCTGCAAATTTGCAGTCAATAGAGATTAACCACCTAAGAAACCTATTCAGAGTTGAGATCTACAACAGATGATAAAATGATGATTGGCGCTTTGTAATTGTTGAGCACACAGGGCCTTTGTTAACCTTATTGCAAAGAATTGCTATGGATCACATAAAAATAAAAAATAGAATCCTTACAAACTAGTTGGGCTGGCAGCCAGCTAGAGCTTCCAAACTTACCAGTGGACACTCTTCCCTGGAGTTCTTAGGGCAGTCACATGTAACCCAGGATGATGAGAAGAATCCCTTCTGTCTGTTCCCCTGGTGCTATGAAAATATGTTTTCTGTCTGCCTTTATGTAACAAAATCAAGAAGACTCTTCTTGAATCCTTCCTAGTTTCTGTTCATAATTTGGTTAGTTGATTGATATCCTTCAAATATCACCGGTGCCCTCTCTGGGTTAGTGACTATAAAAGGACCCCTTGTGGCTCTTTTCATTGTCTTCTTTGAGAGGACTGCAGTGAACTGTGTAGTTCCTTTTAGAGTTCTATCCCAACTTGACTTAAAAATAACTTTGAAAACAGTTAGACCATCGTGTATTTTGTAATACAGTTGGGTCTCTGCCGATTCCCAAGATAAATGTGTTTAAACAGAAGCTTTCTCATTCATCATCAGCCTCAGCTCTCATCCACATTTATTTAATGATGATGCAAGCCCACAGCCTCGGTATTGCAGTCCATCACCATGGAAGTGTTTCTGTCAACAAATCCTTGCTTTCCAAAATAAAATTGATTTTTACAGGGGAAAGGAAGATACCTTTTACTTTTGAAAGATCTTCACAGTGTGCTTGGATATTTAGATGAATTGCATTTAAAATCAGTAAGTAGCAATAAAATTGAGTACACTAAATTAACAGTTAAGAGTATGGAAAGGAAATGGAAAAGGGAAAATGGTGATTAGCTGCTTTGAAGTCATCTTTTTAAAATGTGACTTGGGAACTAGATTTGTAATTTAAAGTGTTCCTTTAAAGGCTGTATTCTCCACTCAGAGGTGTAGAGCATGCTCAGGGGCTACTAGGAGTTAGGTGTCACAATGTCTAGTGTCAGGAGATATGCAAGGGGACCAACAGGCAGCATTAGAACTCATGGAACACAGCTGGGCAGTTGGCAAAGCCCCGAGGAGTAGGTGTCCTGAGGCCTTCATGCTGTTATTTAGCATAGCTCTGATTGCTGCCTTCATGGTCACCACATCCCTCATAATCTACGGGTTGTATAAAAACTCAGGGGGTTTCTAGCCCTTCACTGGGCAGTGTTAGTGGTACTTATTTTGTTTTGTTTTGTTTTTTTGTTTTTCGTGACAGGGTTTTTCTGTGTAGCTTTGGAGGCTGTCTTGGAACTAGCTCTTGTAGACCAGGCTGGTCTGGAATTCACAGAGATCTGCCTGCCTCTTGCCACCTGAGTGCTAGGATCAAAGGTGTGGACCACCTCTTAAAATAATAGTGATTGACTTTTTGCAAGTATTGATTGCTGCTGGAGCAGATTAATGATTCAGCCACCACCCTTAGAAAGAATTTAGACATGTAGAGTTGTTAGTAAGGTTAGGTTAAGACGGTTTTGTTAATGACTTTGAGGTAGAAAATCTTGGGGAACAGTTTACAGTTTAGAAAGGCACATAGTTGAGTAAGGGACTCATTGAGGTCCAGAAACAAGAACAATGACAGCCTGGCTATTGCTGGCTGAGGTACCTTTCTTGCTAGAATGGATTGGTGATCAAAGGTGATGATTACTTCCTTGTACCCATTTCTGCCTTCAACTTCCTGATAATAAAAAACTGTGAGTGGGTTTGCACCCTGAGAACTTAAAGTAAAGCTGACATATTTTTTTGTCAATTATAAAAATTTAGATTTGTGATTCTTTTAAGATTTTTATGATTACCTTTTGATCAATCAATAAAGTGAATGATTCTTTCTTTGTAACAACAAAATGCAGTCTGCCAGCAAAAGAACTGGCTGAGAAAAATACCCTGCTTGCTTACACTCTGTTAATCTATAACAGGTTGCTTGGGTGTGAACGTATGTGGGTTCTTGGGACAACTCATTTTTCACCTGTAATATGTAAAATGTTTAATCATGTATGCAGTATGGAAATCATGCTTTTTTTTACTTGTATTCATTGTAATCATTGACTTAAAAACATAGAATGTAACCACATTGCAATTTTTATACTTCTTGAAAGATTTTTTTTCTGGGGTATATAAGCTGTAAAAAAAAGTAAAGTTAGCTAGAAGGAAGACGTCAAGAGAGCCAGAAAGTAAATATCAGGTTAGAAGAACAGAATAGAAAAAGAATGTCTTGTAAAACAAAACAAAAACGTTTAAATGAAATAAAATGAAGAACTAAGCTTTGGCCCCCAGAAAAGTCTATCTGTCCAGTAGTTCACCTGCTCTGCATCTCAGTTTCTCTGACCTCCATTGCTTGCCATTCATCACACCCTAGGTGAGATCCTGACAGGAGTGCCTCTGTGTGTGTGTGGGGGGGGGGCATATCTGTGTGTGTGTGTGTGTGTGTGTGTGTGTGTGTGTGTGTGTGTATGTATGTGAGGGGGCATATCTCTCTGTGTGTGTCTGTGTGTTTCCCTCTTTTGCTGGTGCCAGAGAGTTAAGTTTTGCCCATTTGCTGGCCCTAGAGGATTAAGTTTAATCCTTCAGCTTGAAAAGCCAAGTTGAATGATTAGTTCACCAACTCCATGGATCCCCCTCAGCCCCAGAGCTGCTGAAGGCTGGTCCTCACAGCAGCAATAGTCTAGGAAGCTTTGGCTGAGTTTTTTTTTGTTTGTTTGTTTTTTGTTTTTTTTTTTTCATGTACACTGTGAATGGCATAAAACCCAAAGAAGAAATCACATTATTACTTGGCTTCTGCTGCTAAGATTACTTAAAAAAAAAAAGTCTTAAAACTTGTGCTTCTAACTACCTGCAGCTTTTATGCTTTTATTTGCTTCTTGAGAGGCTATTCAGAAATATGAATTATATGCTTCTGATTGTAGCTTTACTCACAAGCAGGGTAGGGCAACACCCACATTAAGTAATCCAGACGTTTGTGGGAACCACATAACACAGAACAAGAATGACACTTTTGTTTTGAAGGAGAGTGTTCAGAAGTTTATGTCATAGTGGCTGATTCCAGATTTAGATGTAATATATTCTTTATGGAAATTTCAGTCTGTCGGAGAAATGTGGTTAATCCTTGATAGTCAAGGTAACTTGTATTTCCAAATGTGCTTTCTGCCTTCCTGTCACATTCCCAAGCTTTTACCTTTTACCATCAGCTTATGTATGTGCTCACTAATAGCAAATTATTTAATATTACTTTATCCTGTTATCTGTAGACATTTACTGATTTCCTAATAGCCCTCTATTGAACACTAGGAATATTAAGATACATATCAAGAATGGCATTAAGCTTGCCATAATTATTTTGGTTCAGTTTGAAATTGTAGAGAAGAAATTTTTATTTATTTGAGCCACTCTTGCCTCCTCTAATATGTGACCAGAACTATAGATGACAAATATGTACTGCTTGTTCTTTAGGAAGAATTAATGGGCATCATAAACAGGAAATAAAATGATATTGGTCATGCAGATATATAACACAAAATGATCAAATGAAAATCAGCAAGCAATGGCAAAAGTAACAAACTATTTACTGTTTTATCATGTTAAGTAATTCACCAAGACAAGTTGCAGTCAAATTAAAGTGAGTTATGGAAAATGAAATACATAAAGATGTATTTATACAAGTGCAGACTAAATATTTTCCATACAGGCATGTAAATGAAAAGATACACAGTAAGTGCACACTCGATGACTCTGCAGGCAACACATTGTTAGTTCCAGATACTCTTGGATAGTCCATGCACATCTTCCCAAAGTACATGTTTAGTCATTCTTTTAGGGGTTTGGAGGGATGATTAAAAAAAGGACTGAGTTCCTTGCAAGAGTATCAGTATGAACTAGATGAGGGTGAGAGTGGTCAGTTATATATATTACTTACTGTAATTTGTGATTGTCGAGGAAGAGGTGTGGCTGTTGGTGTAATAGTAATACTGCTGGTGACTTTATTGGTTGTTTTGTTTAGTGCCCCATTAGTTAAGCCTTGAGTTCTGTTATCCTGCAGTGGTGCTGAAGGGCTGGCAGGTCTCACGGGGCTGGCGACAGCTTGCATGTAAGGACTTCCTAAGTGAATGTGGATTTTATTATCCTCAGTAGTTATCACACTTGAACTGTTACTGTTTGAACGTTGAAACTGCCATGATGACTGCCGGTCCGGGGAGACTCTGAAAATTGCATGCTTGGCACTGATTTCTATCGGCTCTGGGGAGCGACCCTGCTCAGGAGAACTAGCTGAACCAGCCATAGCCAAAACCTGAATAGGTGACATTGTCCGTTCTGGAGTTACAGAACCACAGGACTCTGGGGTCTGTGCTCTGGCAAAGGTTGCCATGGTAACAGGAGGCATACTTTGCTCTAAGTTCGAAAGGCTTTCTGTAGAGGTTTTGGACTTTACTGGTGTTATGGAGGCATTTTGGAGAATGGTAATCCTTTGCTTTGGGGTACCACAGTTTGGTATCACTGCTGTGCTGGTGTATGAGTGAGGACTCTCTGTGGTTGGGCTTGTGATTTCAAGAGTGGCTGTATTTTGGGCATGGTCTGGAGTAACCTTTATGTGAAGGGGCTGCCCAGGTGTGTGACTTAGGACTAGATCTCCAGGTTGCACAAAGTTGCCATTGGACTTAGTTTGTATTTTTCCATTCTGAGGGTGGCCCTCCTTGGATTTCATCCAAGGAATCCATAGTTTCCTGTTCATAGGAAGGGAAGTAGATGGATTGCATTTGAAGGACAGCACAGATTCCTCATTAGGGTCCTCGTCTTGGTCCTCACTCTCCTCATACAACTGACCATTGATGACTGCTCGTTCCAGAGGAATGAGGCTCTTGTAGTCTGGTGGCTCATTGTCTGCTACTTCTGTTTGAACCTCTTTAGAAAATACTTGAGGGTCAGAGATTCTTCTTCCATTGAGACTAGGTCGGAGGCTCTTATTAAAATGCCGATACCTCTCTAGCTCTTTAGTGAGGTTTTCAATCTCTCTTCCTAAATCTCTGTTTCTGTTTTCTTGTTGGTTTAGTTTCTTTTGCAGAATTGAGTGGTCTCCCTGGAGGTGACATATTAGGTCCTCTGTTGCCATGTACTCATGAATTTTCTCTTTTAATGCATCCACTTCTCTTGACAGGTGACCTGACTTCGCTTCTTCTTCTTGAAGCCTCTTGAAAAGCCATTGCTCATGGCTGGACTCTGTCTTTTCTGCTAACTTGTACTTGGCAAGTTCCATTTTAACATGTTCCAGCTCTTCAGACAGAAATTGAGCCTTGTCTCTCTCATTCGCATACCTCCGTTCTAAGGTCTCGTACTCATCCTCTGTTTTCATGAGGTCATCTTCAATGGCTTTCATATCCTTTAGCTTCAGCTTCAACTTTTCCACTTCTTGAGAAAGCTCTTTAATCTTATTGTTTTCTTGGTGTAATGCTGTTGTGGACTTACTGGAGTCTTGATTTAATTTGTTTTTTACAAAATCTTTCTCAATTGCTTCCAGTGATTGAAGCCTGTTTTTCAGTATATTCATTTTTGACAATAGATCATGTCCTTTCTCCTCTTCTGCTTTGAGTTTGTTTCTGAGATCATCTCTCTCCTTGGTTACAGTGTACATCTTCTCTTCTGCATCAGTTTTGGACTTGAGTGCCCTTTTAGTTTCCTCAATTAACTTCTCAGTCACTGTCGTCACTTTATTTTGCTCTGCCTGGAGCTGAGAGGCAGTGGTTTGTAACTTATCTTCAGTTTGCTTTAATTTTTCACTCATTGTTTTGCGTTCATCTACAAGCATTACAGTTAATGTTTTCAGTTTTGTTAAGTCATCCTTTAGGGTGAATTCTGTCTTTTCTAGCCGACTTTCAATGGCTTCTAGCTCTTTGATCCTGGTGTTTAAACTCTCCAGTTCTTCGGCCAACTGCTTTGTTGTCATCTTTTCTTTGTCTAAACTGCATTTCAGAGAGTAGCACTCTTGTTTGCTTTTATCTAAAGCATCTTCTAGTTTTTCCAGAGCCGTAATCCTTTTACTGAGTTTCTCAACTTCTAGTTTGAAGTCTTTACTCTGTGCTGTCTCTTTCTCAAGCCTCTTGTTGAGATCTCTGCACTGCTCCTCCATTTTGATGAGCTCCTCATCTTTCCCCTCCATATCCAGCACACGCTTCCTGAGCTCATCCACTTCAGCCATGATGCCAGTGTTTCCACATTCTCCCTTGTTGATTTTTTCCTTAATATCTTGCAGCTCCTCTTCGGCTTTTCTTAAAGACCTGTTGGTCTCCTCTAACTCATCAATTTGCCGGCTGAGTGCTGCCAGCTTTTGCCGGAGCTGACGATTTTGACTGTCCTCATTGGTGAGCTTCGCCATAATTGTGTCTTGGTTCTGGTGGAACAGTGTGGTCTGTGTCTGAAGTTCTTTTTCTAGTCTGGTTGCCTTCTGCTCTTCTTGCTGAGCTCTGGCTTCAGCAAGGGCTAGTTTACCATGTGTTTCCTTTGCACGTGTGGTCAGATCTTGGGTTTTCTGTCTCTGAAGGGCAAGCTGAGCTGTGAGCCTTTGTTGTTCATCCACCACCATCAAAGCAAAGGACTTCAGCTTGGTCAGCTCCTCTTTCAGGGCCTTGATCTTCTTCTCTTTTTCTTGCTCCTTCCTCTTCTGGGACTCAGTTTCTTGATCAGTTAGCTTCTTTAATCTGGCAAATAAAAGAGTAGATTCCAGTTAGTGCTTTAGTAATTCATCAGCTGTTATTAATTTAAAATAATTGTATCAGTTCATAGATAACATCCAGAGAAGTTTCCAGATTCGATGAGGAAGGAGAATCTTTAAGATTTTAAAATATTGATATCTTGCCCCCCCCCCCTAAAATTTGGCTAGCATTGATTAGTAACAGTTGAAGTTCCTTAGAAGCCTTAGAAAAGGACAGGCAAGAATATTTGGTTTAAATTGTTTGGACTATCAGTGGATAGCCCAACCTGAAGGCTGTAAAGATAGGTACAGACTTGAGATTTCAGTTAGATGTGGCTTTAAAACTACACCTGCCCACACCAGCTAATTAACCTGCATAGTTCTCCATTTCCTCATATTATCTTAGGGGCTTTTTCTGAGAGTGAGGCAGTTCATCTGTCATTATCACAGTCCTGTCATTTGGTAAACATTTGATAAATGTTGCCATGGTGCTTTTTAAATTACTAATTCTTGTCCAGTATTAAGTGACTTGTTTGAGCCATTGTGTATGTGATATATTACTAGTTACTGTTTAACTCCTCAGTTATTAGTTAAGATAGCATTTTATTCAGTCTGTCTAGAAGTTATGCACAGCACAGATGGATCTCTTTGTGTATTAAGATTTTGGTTTACACTAATAAGATAGCACCGGGAACCACTTCACCTGTGTCTTTATCTGCTTACTTGCTGCCATTTAAGAGGGGGAGCTAACAGGCAACTGAGTTAGGGTTTGGAGCACTCATAACATATGGAAGAGCAGGGAGCTTGACAGCAAAGAGCTTACTGATAGAAATCCAGAGCTAGGAATGGAGAAACTGTTAGCAGGAACATATTGAATCCGTCTTAAATGACTATTTTAACACACTATTTTTTCTTTATTTAAAATTATCCTTCATAACAGGAGGACATTTTTCATGCAGAATACATGGTCTTCTCCATGCACTTGGTTACCTCTGTAAAGAAGGTACAGTTTTAAACTTGTCAGTCTCTTAATTATACTGGAAATTGGCTAATTATAGAGGATGTAATTGTTGCTCTGCAACATTGTTGTGCAGAAACTAAGGTAGAATGCAACCCCTGAAAAGGACTGAACTTGGTTGGAAATGTAAATATGTACTTTCTAATCGAGTCTGTAGAGTTCATAAAATGTTAATAAACTGTTATCCATCTACCTAACTACCTACCTGCATAATAAATCATTTCTATTTACTAGTTAATTAACCAATCTGTTCTCTTTTATCCTTGCCCCAAAACACTTTTAGAATTAAGAATCTGAGAGAACATTTTTTAAAGGAAATAAATTTGGGGCAGTCTGGGGGATTAAAGGCTTCTTTATGAGATTCTAATCTGTTCTTCCTTAATTATACTACACAGGAAGGGGAAAAAACGTAGTGTAAGAATTTTTCAACTTTTGCATGGCAGATCTCCTTTTAGTTTGTCCTATTTTGGGGACCTGACAAAAGATTGACACGTAAAGTCCAGAAGCGACTGGGCGGGTGCTGGTGCGGGGCGGGGCTGTGGTGACCTCATCTGTGGTCTTGGCAAGAGGCTTCATGACTCTTGCCTTTCCTCGTTCCCTGCTTGCGACACCTGGGAGCCTGAGAAGAGAAACATGGCAGCTTCTTCCTGGTGATGTGGAGTTTTGCATCTCTGGGCAGGAATCTGGGATAAACTGCTGTGGTGGAGAAACAGCTGCAGAAGAGCTTCTTCCTCAGACCTCTGCTCTCAATTCACACTTGATGGTGCTGAGAAGGCATTGCTGAAGCTCTGCTGTTTTCCTTTATTGGAGAACAACTTCACAAAAACTCCCAAGGCTTTCTTCTCAGCTTTTTAAATAAGAGCACATGCTGTCCCCTCTTCCTAAGAGGGGGACATGGTTTCTTGGAATATAAGAAAGGGAAGATTTTTTTTTTAAAGTGAAATAGGAGAGCCTTAAAATGGAATAACTGAATCCTGTCAGTATAGTAACAAGCAAAACAATATTGAAAAACATTGAGTTGTCTTTATTGTGTTCACTGTTTTTGGCAGCAAGCATAGTGCATCTTTTTGAGTCATGCACCTTTTTCCTGGTATTTATAAAGTGGATGACATCAACATCTCCCTAAGCTTCATCTCCAAGCTAAACATATAAGACTGATGATTGCAGTACATTTGCTCCAACCTGAAATACATAGTGATAGATAGTACCCTCCCTGCTGATTTAGGCCTGTATTTTTCTTTTAAATCCCATTTAATGGACATTTGAATCACCTGGGAATCTTGCAAAAAGGGCAGATTTTGATTCTGTGGGTCTGGGGTGAGCTTCACAATTTTCATTATAACAAGCTCCCAGATGACCCTGGTCTCCTGGCCTTGGACTTTATTATGTAATGTCAGAGTTCTAGCTATGGGAGACATAGGTCAGGAAGGTCCCGGAGATGTGCTGTCTCCCCAAGTCCAACTGTCTGTTGAGGCCAGCATGTAGACCACTTGCTGGGACTGATCCAGACACACAGTGTCTATCACTGAAACTCTCTGAATTGAAACCTGTGGAACTAAAGGAAAGATGTCAGTTGTGATTATTTGGGAACATTTACATATGTTATGTATGCATGTATACATGAATACGTACATACATCATACATACACACAGTGATTTTTAACCTATTTGTTCTTTTAGCACCTACATTAAAAAAAATTCAAGTTTTAAACAGTTATAGAAGTAATCTCTGCCATTCAATCTAAAAGTTCCCATTTACACACCAGATAGTCTAATCATCCTGAATTCTAAGATATGACTGTGTAGGAATTTGTCCTAAGGTGTCCAGTGTCCTCAGATGAGGATAAGCACTACTCTCTATCTAGTGCTGTTTCTTAAGCTGCTGCCACCCCTGTGCTTTCTTGGGATTTTCTGTAGGAAGTTCTAGAGGAGTTCTGAGCCCAGGAAAATTCCCTTGGTAAAAGTTTGCCAAGCAAGAAGGCTGTTTTGAAAGGGTTGTTGGAAAGAGAGGGCTCACTGGACACAGCAGATGAGATTCCGAGAGTGTATATAGGAAGTGTCAATGTAGGCATTGATTTCCTTTATGCTCCCCAGGCAGCTCTGCAAGTTTGTGTACCCTTGGGGGTGTATGTACCTCCATTTGAAGACTACTGTCTTGGAGTACTCATGTTCATGCTCAAATACTGACATTACAGGATTACAGGAACATTCACTGACTCCTGTCCAATAAAAACAGGTTGTGGAAGCTGATTTTTATGGACACAAATGTGAGGTAATTAAATCCAAACTAGCTTAAAGCAGTGTCTTATTACAGATTTTCTTTAGAGTTTCTTTTGTGGCTCAAAATTGTTTTAACTTACTGTGGTTTATCACTATTATTATGTGCAATGCCAGTTACTTGCTTTTTCAAAAATATCACATCTGTCATCTTGAGTGTTTTTTGGTACCAACCATAATGTTGGCTTTTCAATATAAATTATACATTCAGAGGATCCTTTCAGTTTTTTTATTTATACACATATATGTAAACATGCTTCAACCTATAGTTTGTCTCCTCAGTGTGACATGGTTAATAATAATCAGCATATAATGCATGTACAAAACAGATGGGTCCCATCTAAACGCTGTATAGACAGTCATACCCATAATTTATATTATAGTTCTCATTATTTTTGGCTTTCTATTGTTTATATACATCATAATCAACCCCACTAAAATATTATCTTCTTAAGAATAGAACATGAGTACAATGTGTTTTCTACAGTGGTTACTGAAAAACCCTCTAGAAGGAACCAAATGAGTGGGTTTTATTTTATTTTTTGAATGAATGAATAAAACAGTGAACAAATATCCACCCTATGGAGTATACCTCAACATTGTCCTAAGCAGTGTTGTTCATTTTTAAAGATGATTTTCTAGGGCTTAACGTGTGTTTATGGTTTTAGATATTTAAGAAAATGTGGCGTGAGTCTTCCCCTCAGTGTTTTCTAAATACATTATTGTCTATTTCATAATTATGGAGCCTCTAAAAAAAAAAAAGACTGCTATTCCTTTGTTTTTTCTTCAAATTCTTTCAGCACAGCTATGTTTGGTTACTTGGTTATGAGAGGTTTAAATGGTCACATGCTAGCTCATCACACTCCTTTGATTATTTCAACCCTGCAAAGAAGCAGTTCTTTTACTTTCCCTCCCAATGAGAGCTCTGATGCATTCTTCTTGCATATTATTTTCCTGTTCCCAGCCTACTGGCCCACACAGATCAACTTAGAGTGACTGTCAAGCATTAGTACAAAGTCCATACTCACTAATGACACTGTGTTACATCTATTCCTACAGGAACCAAACTGGAAGAAGTGAACAACTTCAGTCAGTTTGGTTCTCTCACCCATCCTTTTAGTGGGACAAACACTCCACTGTGTTTCTAATGTGGGTCTTGAGTTTAGCAGTTGATGTTTAAATATGGCAATGCTCAATTTACAAGAAAGTCTTCTAAACTAGGGCTATTATGAGGTGAACAGGGGAAAAAGAATCTGTTCTCCAAGAGTTCATGGAAAGGCTAGTGAGACGGCTCAGCCCATAAAGGCACTTAGTGCTAAGCTTGAGTACTTGAGTTTGATCTCTGGGTCCCACAAAATGGAAGGAGAGAACCAATCCCCGAAAGTTGTCCTCTGACTTCCACACATGTGCACATGCCCTCCTCCCCATCTAGATAAGTTAATGTAATAAAGAAAAACAAGTTTTTAAACTGAACAGATAACTCTAACACTATTTAACAAAGACCCCAGAGCAACAGTTTTTTTAGATCTCTTCACTCTTTTAATTGTATGGATTTTATCTGAATTTACTGTTTTATTAAAATTAGGGCCTCTGTGTGGGGACAGACCTGTAATCCCTAGTACTTGGAAAGTGGGGGCAGAGGCATCAGGAGTTTAAGGTTTTCCATATATATATATATATATATATATATATATATATATATATATATACAATAAAGAACATTTTTAGTGGAAAATAACCTAGAAAAAAAATTTTAAGAGTTGCATTGTACTTTACAAACTGTACTGAGGACAATGGATCCTCGGATCTATTTTACATATTCCATTAGCTATAGTAGCCAAGGCATGATCACAGGTCATGTAGGATCTGGAAAACCTGTGTAGTTTTGAGAGAAAGGGTAAAAGGGTTTATGACCATAGGGGACCTTGCTGATGTCTTGAAGAGGCTGCACTTTGAAATCTTTGCTGTAGAGGATATGCAGGAGAAATGTAATGGCAAATGTCTTTCTCCAAAAAAAATGCTTAAGGTGTGTGGTATCATCCTATTCTTCATGCTGTTGCTTATCAGCCCTTGCTTTCATGGTAGAGTCCCTAGTTTGCTTTGGTAATTTCATCATTAATATATTCATTTATTTGCTGTCCATCATAGGGGAGAGGTTCTCTGCCTTCAATTTGTTCTTCCCAGTTCTTTGAACTATCTACATACTGTTACTGTTTTCCTTGAAACTACTCTTTGAAATGAGAGCATCTAAACCACTGGTTTTGCAGTTGGCTAGCTTGGTAGTATTGTTTTTTGAGAAGGTTCTTGCTCTGTAGTCCTGAGTGCTGGGAGTACAAATGTGTACCACTAAATGGGTCAAAGTTGCCTGTTGTTTAAAATGGGTTCAACAGCTACAGTTCAGCTGACATTTAATACATTTCAGGTCTTTATAAGGTAAGTACAGCGAGCCCTTACTGTGTGCAGTATCATTTTTCTTAGAAACCATCATACTTGCCCAGCCCAATCTTGTTGTAATTTGTGTAGTACCTTATCAATGACCAAACAGATTGATCAGAACAGATATATTTAGTCTTAGGGAAATAATGTAATGTGTGTGTTCTTATTACTCTAAAGGCTAGTTTGATACTTTCCCTGATTTGGCATAATGATCCATAAACAGAATACTGCATATATTACACTGCTTTATTTTTTTTGTTGTTGTTTTTGTTTTTGTTTTTTTTGAGACAAAGTTTCTCTGTGTAGCCTTGGCTGACCTGGAACTCACTCTGTAGACCAGGCTGACCTCAAACTCACAAAGATTTGACTGCCTCTGCCTCCCAAGTGCTGGGATTAAAGACATGCACCATCATCGACCTGCCTTTATTCATTTTTTATGTACTCTCCTGGCTATAGACTTTGATACTTTGGTTGCATTACATCCCATTTTATCTTTTAGTAATTCTTGTTTAATATGTCATTTTAATTATTACATTGCACTGATAACAAGTTCTAGCAATTTGAAGAGTGATGCATGGAATTTGTTGGAAAGCTTTGCTTCCTCCTTTTAAGATAGTACTGTAATTTATATTTCTTGCTTTACTCTTTACCTCTTTAATGGGACTCTTGACTGTTAAGTCAGATTTTTAGGAGCATTAATAAAAATACTTAGGATCAGCCTATTCTATGTGTGCTGCTTCCTTTTATTTATCTTACAAGTCAAAGGATTTTTCTTTTTATTTTTCTCTTTTAGTTACAATTACAGCATACCATAGCCACAGTGTAATGCTCAATTCATTTGACTTGGTCAGCAAGATCTAGAAGAATAGTCAGACTTTTTTTTTTTTTTCATCTGCTAGCCAAGTATGAGTGTGCATCTGTGTCTGCTTTATGTTTTTGTTACCAAAGATCCTGTCATCATTGTTGAGATCATTTAGAGATACCATAAATGGGTCCAGATTCAGCAAGCTGGGTTACTATTTTCCTTTGATGTGAAATAAGAATTAGAACATGAAGTGAGGAAGAGGAGGCTGTGCAGGGGTACAGATGACAAAAGTGACTTAGGACTCATAATTGGGACCATCTTATTTAGTTCCCCAGTAGTCAGGGAAAGTGAAGTAACAAAGAGCTTGGGAAATTTCATCAGATAAAGGGGATTCTGGGAAGACCTATGAGCAAGAACTGGAATCGGTCAAATCCTGCTGTCTTAAACTTGAGAGAAGAGCAAAGTAATGGAAGATTACAAAGGAAGATCCCTTAAAGAAAAACTGCTGAAAGGTCACACTACAGACTCAATAAAAGACCAAGATCACAGCGCTGGTGAGGAGAAGGCAGACACTTCATCTTGAAACCAAAGGTGGTACCTGTGGACTATGGGCTAGCAGACAGTAACCTTGAGCTGGACCTGGGACAGAAGGATACCTTAGTGAGTTTATCAGTATGAGTCTGAATTGTGTGTCATTTGCTTCTGTGCTGTAGTATGGGAAGCTTTCTAGTTAGAACATTTAGGTTAATGATGTGGGCCTGCCAGTATATGGATCTGA